GAGGGAACTGGGTTATTGATGTGTAAAACAAGATATGACTAAAGTCCACATCTTGGAAGCACTCTCAGGTGCAGTCCTGGCACCAAACAGTCCAGGTGCCAGTATCTAAATAAAAAGCTGCCTCTTAAAATTTATTCATCGTTGGGACCCAGCCCCCAAGGGTCTCTAAGAGTTGCTTTCCAGCATAACCACAGGTACCTCCTATTTTCCTGACCTCACCCCACTAGCATCAATATCCCATTGTGAAACCTTTCATCTAGGGTTTTGGTAAGTTTGTATATAAGGCTGCTCCCCAATAAAGGTGGGAGACATTCTCTCAGAAAATCAACCAGGCATCTTGTCATTCATCAAAATCTCCAGGCTTTCGCCTGATACTCGGACTTAGTTGTGGTGCAGGCAGTCACAAGTGTAGGTCCCACCGAGACTGGGAAAGATAGGGGACCCTGAGAGATTGCCCTTGGGAAGGCTGGCCAGCACATAAGGAGTTATTAGGGTGGATTGTTAAAGGCACTGAAAAATGGTGCTTCAACTCCTGAGAGAGTTAGATTGTAAAGGCACTGGAAAAGGGGTACCTCAACTCCTGAGCGAGTTGGGTTGGAAAGGCACTGGAAAAGGGGTGCCTCAACACCTAAGAGAGTTAGATTGGAATTGAGATCACAGTCAATCACACAGAGAAAGTTTAAAGAGACAAGGTACTAGTAAGATCTCATTTTAACTTTGGATTAAGTAATGCTAAGAAATTAAGTAAATGCTAAGAAAATTATTAAAGAAATACGGGAATCCACTGAGGAATCCCTCCCCCATGAGCTGCGCACCAGCAGCCAGCTGACCCAGCAGCGCATGCCCTTGTCCACTTGAGCCCACTGTGGGCTCCAGTCAGCCAGCAACAATGTGGTGTGCACAGGCTGGCTGGAGAAATCACTTCCTGAGAAAAAGTTGGGGCACTATGCTTGGAAGAAACACTGGTTTATTCTGTGGAGCTATCAGATGAGTGGTGACCCAGATGTTCGGAATACTATAAGAATGAACACTCCAAGAAACCCCTGCAGATTATCAACTTAAACTTCTGTAAGCAGTTGGATGTAAGCCTGATCTTCAACAAAAAAGAGCTCCAAAAGAGTTTTATGTTTGATATCAAGACCAATGAGTGCACCTTCTCCCTGGTGGCTGAGACAGAGGCTGACATGAATAGGTGGGTCAAGAGCATCTTCCAGATCTGTGGCTTCAGTCAGACTAAAGAGAGCACAGACTCCCTAAGAAACCTCTCTTCAGTCAGTCATAGTCTACACTCTTCTCCAGCTGAGTTCAGCAGCTCCAGTCAGCACCTGCTCCAAGCAAGGAAGTCCTCAGCTCCTTCACACTCTAGCCAGCCCCATGTGTCAAGCCACATCTGGCCTGTTTTGTCCACCAGTACACCTCAGGAGTATCAACACTTGCACCAATGCATAAGCCAAAGGACAGAAAATGTGAGGAGTGCCAGCTTCTCTCAGGACATCCGACAGGAAAGTGATACAGCCACACAAAATTGTGCCATGGCAATAGACACTGTATCAACAGAGTCAGCAGTCGGGTTCATGGCTTCTATAGCCTTCCCAAGCCAGGCTGACACGATGCAGAAGACTGTGCTTTTAACCTCCCCCGTAGCCTGACTTCACACAGCCACACCAAGGGAAGCCTCACAGGTCTGAGGCAGATAGTGAGGATGTGTACACCTTCAACGCACCAAGCAACACCCTATGTCGGGACCTCCTAGTGGACTCAGCCATAGCTCCCCCACCATGGCACCCCAAGACACATCGGTGAGCAACCCTCTACAAAGACCTCCAGTCAGTGACTACAAGTACCCAACACAAGGCAGAGAAACCACCTGCTGGTCTGCTAAATCTCCAGAAAAGGCTATGGTGGGTCGATCAGACAGTGCCAGTTCTGATGACAGCTATGTGCCCATAAACCCAGGTTCTGACATCTCCATGAGCACAATCACTTTGACTCACAAGGCTACCCATCCACAGCCATTCCTATTCATAGAGGCTCCAGCCAAGGAAGTGAGATCCAGCCACTCCTGGTCAATTGCAACCTCAAGCCTGGCTGAAAAGCAAAGCCAGCACCCCTTGACCTGAGAAACAACACTGTCATTAATGAGCTCCCTTTCAAGTCACCTGTCAGCAAGTCTTGGTCCTCAGTCAACCACACCTTTAACTCCAGATTCTCTCAGTACTGCAGTTCCATCTCCACGCAAAGCATCACCAACAAGACTCCAGAGACAGTGTGGAGAACTATGTCCCTATGCAGAACCCAATGTCTTCATCCCCTGTACCCAGTGGCACTAACAACCCAGTTCCAAAAAAAGAGTACTGCCAATGTGAATTACATAGCCCTGGGGTTCCAGTCGGTCTCCTGAGCCCTTAGCGCAAGCCATCCACATCATCTGTTGGATGGTATGAGAAAGGAGAATATGTCCAAGTGGATAAATAAAAGACCCAGGCCCTACAAAAGAAAATACAGGAATGAACAAAGATGTGGCAGTCCTCAAGACACTCCAAAGATGCCAAGATATGGTAAGGATGGCCATCCCTCCCCACACCTCCTCTCCTTTGTGAGTTTTTGTTCAAAAGATGTATGTTCTGTATGTATGGTGTGGCCACATGGATGTATGAAGTGTGATCGTAAATGTGTGACTGTTAACAAGAGAATGTTAGTGTGTTGTCTTTAAACTGTTTAATTGCTGGGGAAGGAACAACAGTTGTTAAAGTACAGGTTACTTTGGAAGGAAATTTCTGCTTTTGTTTCCACAGATGGTGAAGAGCTGTGGATTCCTTCTAGACTGATATGGTTTCATGGGGCAGGACCCCCTGAAGCAGTGGCCCAGGTAATCCAAATATTTGTTGTCATTTAAATTTGGTTGGTTAGAAATGGTAGTGGTCACAGTCAATCACTTTTAAAAGGAAAAAGGAGGAATATGATATAGAAATGATACTTTATATTGGAATGGATCTTCATTTGTTGATATTAGTTAGGTTTTCTAGACACATATTCTTCAAACCTTTCAAACACCTACAGAATATATGTCATTTAAATGGTTTAGGGTTTTTCTTGACAGTGAGACACAACTGCTCCTGGCATACCAATTACATCTGAGAGGAAGATTGAAGAAACTCCTTATAGAGTTTGCCTTTGACTTGGCAAGATTAACCATTTGGGCAAGAAGCTGCTCTTGCCTGAACTGTTTAATTGTTGCTTTATAAACTGGACATGCAGAACCCACAGGAAAGAGTTCCTGCTTTGCTGAGAAGTCAAACACATTGTGGCCTGTAGGCTAAAAATGGATGCCCCAACGTTACCAAGAAACTTTGGTTGACTGTCTAGGAAGCAAGATGTCTCTGTCAGTTCTAGAGTTTATATATTATCCTTCTATGGTCTTTGATGGAGTTGAAGATAGTTATAGTAATACACTAAGATAGAATGGTTAGAATCATATAGTTCTTATTGATAACTGTTTTGTTATATATAAAAAGGGATATGTTGGACCCCAGCCCCCACATGGTCTCTAAGAGTTGTTTTCCAGCATAACCACAGGTATCCCCTGTTTTCCAGACTTCACCCCACTAGCATCAATATCCTGTTGTGAACCCTTTCACCTGGGGTTTTTTTAAGTTTGTATATAAACCTGCTCCACAATAAAGGTGGGAAACTCCTTATAGAGTTTGTCTTTGACTCTCTCAGTAAATCAACCAGGGTTATTGTCATTCATCAAAATCTCCAGGCTTTTACCTGATACTAGGAATTGGTTGTGGTGCAGGCAGCCACAATTCATGGTCACGGTGAATCTCTGAGTGACCCCGGACTCCTAACAGTAAACATCCAGGAGGAGGAAGCTGCAGTTGCTAGTCTTCAAACACACCTGTCCCTCAATTGCACTTTCTTTAGAAAAGCTTTGTTATCTTCTTGCACCTCACCACCTCACCTGGGTAAGAGTTAGACAATCCTGTGGGGCTGAGGCATTGGAGCCCTGAACATGGCCATGCCTAGGTCAATAATACACATTTGGTCAGGCCTTTACTCTCTCAGGACTTCCTCCACACCATACACCTAGCTGTGCAAGGCCTTGGTTTGGTCCCCAGGGCTGCCAACAAACAAAGCCAGAATTCAGCATACACTTGTAGGACTATAGAAGTAAGGTGCAGTCAAACAATTGTCCCATTCATTTCTGGCTCTGCATTCTCCCCTACTGTTGTCTGTCAATTTCTTCTGAGATAAAACCTTCCATCTTAGAGGGAATCTCTTTAAGGTTCAGGGTATTTAAAGGGAGGTGAAACATTCTGCCCTGTGTGGCAGATCCTCAGGTCAGGAAGGAAACAACTCAATGCTTCAGAAAGGCCCTGACACTGACCAGATATATGAGGGGTCTTCTTCTCCATGCATCTGTAAGTAGGAAAGTTGCTAAGAGGCACTCTTAGACCAGACCAGCTGCCTGTCGGAGACTCTCTAGCCCATTGAACTACCTGCAAGTTGTTCAGCATGCTCCAGGTTGTCATGAGCTACCACCCATGCTGGAGTAGACTCTGGTGATGCAACTGTCTTTGAGTCATTGCTGCTTCTGTAAGCAATCCCAATAAAACTCAGTTATTCAACAAGTTGGATTTTCCTGGTATCCATATACTTTGGTCTGTAATTGATTCCCTATCTGGTGGGGGGTATAGTTTATATCTACCTGGGAATATTAATATTACATATTACATATTACCCAATGATTTCTTTTCCATTTTGTGGGAACCCATTAATAAACACAGCTGTTCATGAATGCTTTTACCTTTATTTCTCAATATACCCATGATATATTTCACAAATCATTCAGGGACTTGAGTGGTTTATACACAGAATTTGGTGGATAAAGATATTTAGCCCAGCTAGCAACAGAACAGAGAACATGACCAGAGGACTTTCGCCTACACCTTCAAGGTCCATTACTTATTTGGAGAGTAATGCTGTTAGGTGTTACCTCAAAAAATAAAATGAGGTAAAGGTTCTTTTTTCCTAGGATCTGGTTGGTCGCTGCTAATAGTCAATTGTGGGTGGCTCTCTTTCATATTTTGGATCAGCTTCTGGATAGTGGGGTTAGCATCATCAAATTTCAACCTAGGTCACAAATGGGAGAGAAAATGATTTCTTGTTGCTTCAAGGAAATACATTTAAAATTCCCATATGCCTATATTTATACAATGGAGGACTACTCAGTGGTAAGAAACAATGACATCCTAAAATTTGCAGGCAAATGGATAGAACTAGAAAAAAACATCCTAAGTGAGGTAACCCAAAACCAGAAAAGACAGTATTATACTCATAAGTGGATACCAAACATAAAGCAAAAAGATACCCAGCCTACAATCCATAACCCCAGAGAAGCTTGAACCCTCTTCCAGAAAGAGAAGCAGATGCAGAAATCTACAACCAATGGGCCAAGCTTCAGGAGTATAATCAAAGTGAGGGAGAAACAAAAATCTGAACATAGGCGTCGAGACCATGGTGAGGAAACCCACAGAATCATCTGGCATAAGCTAGTGAGAGATCACTGACTCAGGTCTAACAAATGGGGACCATGCATAAGACCAAACTAGACTCACTTAATATAGGTGGCAATGGTGTGACTAGGACAATATATGAGACCACTGGCAGTGGGTCCAAGATCTAATACTAATATACAAACTGATTTACTTAGTGGAGCCCATTCTATATGTGTGGGGGTGGAGAGGTGCCTTGGTCCTGGCCTCAGTGAGATGATGGGACAAACTTAGTAGACTTTCTAGGGGACGCCTTACCCTCTATATGGGTGGTGGAGGGAGTGGAGGGTTTGGGAGGAAAGGATGGAGGGGGAACTGGGATTGGAATGTAAAAAATTAATTTAAAAATGAAGAAAAACTGTATTACCAAAATACACATAGCACTTAAAAAATTCCCACATGCCTTAAATATCTCATGTGTCACTTTAACACTATACTGCAAGGTAGAATTGCATATTGATATTTTAAATTTTATTTTGGTATATGGTACATGCACACATGCCCATGCATGTGTTGGTGGACTACATTCCTGTGGTTGCATATAGAGGCCAGAGGTTGTTATAGGGATGTCTTTTTTTTACTATACTGCCACCACCCCCAATTTATTTTGTTTTATGTATGAGTGTTTTGTCTACATGTATATATATGTACCACATGTGTGCCTGGTGCCTATGGGAGCTCAGAAAAGGACATTGGATCCCTGGAACTAGAGTTACAGATGATTGTGAGCCACCCATACAGGTGCTGAAAACAAAACCTGGCTCCTCTGCAAGAGCAGCAAGTGCTTTTAACTGCTGAGCCCTCCATCCATCCCATGACTATCTTGCTTTTTGAATCAGAATCTCTTACTGACACCTTGGAGATCACCATTTTGATTAAGCTGGGTGATCCAGATCTGCCTGGATCTTCCTGAATCCATCTAGAGTTGTAGACCTGTATGGTCTAGGGCTTTTATGTGAGTATTGATGATTCAAACTAAGGTCCTAATGTTGGCACATCAAGGGTTTTACACACTAAGTTAACTTCCCTACCCCAGCATACTGGGTCTCATTAGCCTATGCTAACTCAAACTTACTAAGTAGCTGGGAATGACCTTGAACTTCTGGTCTTCCTACTTCCCTCTTCCACGTTTACTACCACACCCAGTTTTATGCAGTTCTGAGGATCAAATTCAAGGCACACACTAGGCAAGCACACTTCACCAACTGAATTCCACACTCAGCCCTGCATGTTGATTTAACAGGGGAAAGTATCTGTAGTGATAGACACACTGCATAGCCATGGACCTTACAGCCATGCTCAAACTGTATCTTGAATCAGGGTCTCTGACTGAAACCAGAGCTCATAGATTGGCTAGATTTAGTTGTCAAGTGTTTGGGACCTGCCTGTCTGTAATCCAGCTTTGGAGAGCAAACACATAGCTTCATGCCTGGCATTCTTGTGAGTTCTGGGGTTTTCAAGCTTGAGTAGCAGTCACTTTACAAAGTAAGCTATCTCCACAGTCACCTTTTAAATCTGTGTTCTTTTGGAAGAGCACCTCACACTGTGGTCTAGGAATGCTGGAAACCCAATTGTGGCAACGTAAGCACAATTGTGACAATCTGATCTCAGCCTCTCAAGATCCAGAAATCAGGGCTGAGCCAGGCTCCCACTTTTCTAGAGACCATGTGAGACTTGCAGATTGTTTTCACTAATAAGACAAATGTCTAACAATTATGGCTTCTTGGTCTCCCATGTAGTGTTGACTTCATTCTACAGTTTACCCATCAGTGCAACAGAAAGGTTAAGGAGAAGGGTGTTAAGATTTGGTGACCACTGCATGTGGTGACCCATGCCTTTAATCCCAGCACTCAGGAGGCAGAGGCAGGCAGTTTTCTGAGTTTGACACTAGCCTGGTCTACAAAGTGAGTGCCAGGATATCTGTGGTTATACAGAGCAATCCTATATTGAAAAAATGAAACAAAATTATTTAGTGACCAAAAGTGACTGATGTCACCAGTACACCATTCATTAACATTGGGTGTCTCACATCCACTAAAACTACATGTAGAAAATACTATATAAAGTAATAGGATCACACCTGAGTGTTTGAAGGGGGCAAATGCGAAGTTTCAAGTCTTCACAGAATGTCTTTACTGCATCAGTTCCCAAGGAGTTCTGAGCCAGGTCTAGAGTGTTTAGGCTCTTGTTGTTTCTGAGAATCTTAGAGAAGTCCTTGCAGTTGACTGGAGTCATGGAGCATCCATACAGCCTTGCAGACAAAACACAAAACTTACCTCATTATTGTCTTACTCAGCACTGGACCCTGTTTACTTCAATAATCACCTGCCAGGCAAGTTGTGCTTGCTGGTACAATAGTGGCATGACAATTATGGGGGTTACCAAAACTTACTGTATTAGATTTGAGGCTGATACAGAGGAGGTATTTCTAATACTGTAAACATGGTTGAAAGTTCCCTAGTGGGGAATCTGCTGTTACTTCACTAAACAGTCTTGTTGTCAAACTTTTAAAGAATTATTTATGTTTATAACTACAGATCTGTGCTGTGCTCAGGTTTAGTCAGAAAAGCTTCTTTTTATAGCAAGTATGGTTAATAAAGAAAGTTGTAACAGTACTAAGTCACAGTACTAAGAATAAGTGATGAAGTGCTCAGCTATAGAGGGCCATCAGCACCAACTTCTCTCCATTCAAGGCTTAGGAACCATCTTGCAAGAGGTGGATAGACTAAGAGTGGAAGCATGGAGAGGATCAATGTGAAATGACGCCACTTGGACATGGCTTGACCTTTGTACACATGAACTCACTGCAACTGTAGTTACCTGCACAAGACCTGTAAATATCAAGCCAGTCAAAATTTTAGCATAGATGAGGGAAGGGCTCCAGAGGCTCCACTCAGTTGATGGAGGGAGAGTCACATGGCAGATTGCTGATATCTCCACACCCATGTGGATGTGATCAATATTAACTGGACTAAAGGGGATAATTTAATAATAAATAGTAATGACAATACCAATAATTATAACAATACAAGAACATGAGTTTGAGAAGGAGACTGGTTAGGTGTTCTCAGGAAAGACTTCAGGGTAGCAAAGGGATGGATATGGTCAGAATACATGGTATACACATATGAGAATTTCATAGAATAAAAATGTTATGTATTTAAGAAGTAGCTCATTAATCCAACCAATGCTATGGTCATCGTCCTGTTTGACAGGCACATGGTTGTAAGGACTCAATGGTGAGCAACAGCAACTTCTGCCTTCGGGGCAACAAAATAATGTACTATGTAGTATGGTATTTTCACATTTACAAGGAAAGATTATGAAAGAAAAGGGAGTATCTGGGGGTGCCAGATCAAGGGTGATGTAAGAGAGAGAAGAGAAGGAACTGTAACAGTCAGGAGTAGGAGATCTCCAGACAGGGAAAGTGCCTGATGCTGGCTTACTGGTGTTGTAAGCAGTATCAAGATGAACATGTTTTCCTTTTGAATGATCACACCATTTATGAGGCCAAGACAATAGGTTGGAGAGATTGATCGAAGCCTGTGCTACACAGTGAAAACCCATGAAGCAAACAGAGAAGTCAGGTCAGGTCAAGGTAACAAAGCAGAGCACAGCAAAGTACATGCACATGATATACATGAAGCAAAACAAGAGCATCAAGGCAGCTGATGTCAGTGACCCAGAGAAGGCTGTAGAAGATGAGGGCAGAGGCAGAGGCTAGCCTACAGAAGATGCTCAGGCCACAGCCAGATTTTGCTGGACTGGGATAGAAGCCACTGAAGGTTTTGAGCAGAGGGATGATGTGAGTGATGTAAAAGTAATCATAAAAGTTCTTCTATGGGACTCGAGTCGTAGCTCAGTTGGTAGAATGAACAAAGCTTCAAGTTTGATCACCATCAACACATTAGGCTTGGCATGGTGGTATATACCAGTGGTCCCAGCACTTGGGAGTATCACAAGATAAATGTCATCTTCTGCTACATAGTGAATTTGAAGCCAGCTTGGGATATGGGGGTAGGGAGTTGATCATGTATGGAGGAAGATGGATTGGTAGATATAGGCCAAGCCAGATAGATGATCTGCATTGGATCCATGGAAACCAAATGGTAGAAGGAGAGAACCAGCTCCCATTAGTTGTCCTCTGACCTTCACACTTGTGTAATAACATAGTCTAGCTCCTTTCCCCACAAAATAGATTAGTAAAAACTTAAAACCCACAGAGGAAACAAAGGTTCAAATACTTCCTTGTGAAATAAACACAAGCACCTAGATATTGCTATGTTTGAATTCTAGATAACTAGAAGTGGGTACCAAAGTTTCAGAATAGACTGGACTTTAAAAGAAAAATGGAGAGAGGATAACACACACAGTGAGGAAATACTAGGGATAGTTTATACTAAAGATTTTAGGTAGGGGAGAAAGATAAATTCCATTTTGGACAAAAACCTCAATTAACTACAGTTAAGAATGAAAATGGTATGTTCAGAACAAGAAAGAGCATTCTTCCATCTGGAGTTGTCAGTTGTGCAGGAGACAAGAGATGAGGGGCAGCAGAAATGATCAGTTGATGTGTAGTATATACATAGGAATGCACACAGTGTTACATATGTAGGATAACAGCTTAGGCCATGTGTTAAGTTGAGTCTGTTCTGTTGAATGGGCTCCATTAGCAAGCACTGAGCTCATGGCTTGGCAGGTGTTTGAATAAAAATGATAGTTATTTTTTCCTTTATCATGGTAGCCATGATTATAGCAGACACATGTCATCCTAGAATGTATGAGTAACATGATACACAAAGGAGATAGGGCTGACTGGTGTTGTGTAGTGATTTCCTCCAAGATAAAACATTCTGTCTTATAGGGAAATTCATTAACCCAGGATGTTAGCAAAGAGGTGAAGCAGGATGCTCTAAATGGGGATGGTAGTGAAGGATTTTATCCTCAAGTTCCTTAATCTCAGAAATAAAGCTCAATAGCTTTATGAAGCCCCTGGAACTGACAGATATGCTATGCATCTCCCTCACTATGCATATATAAGCAGCAAGGACTGCTAGAGACACCCTTAAACCAGCTGAGATCCTGGAAGACACATTCTCCAACTTGTGCCAACTACAAGTTTGCAGTGTGCTTCAGATGTCCACATCTCTTGGACTACTTCCCATGCTGAGATGGGCTTAGATGTTGTCACATTTTTTGGGTCATTTCTACTTCTGTAATAACCCTTCACCTATATTCCTGTAAGTAACCCCAAATAAACTCATTGGTTCACCAATCTGGCCTTACTTTGGTCTGTCATCAGTTCCTTATGTTTCATGACTAGAAGTTTGTCCCCATCTCCCCAACAGTATTCTCAAAACAACAAATGGGTAAAGTGTTCTCCCCTACTGGTATGCCAGCATGGTATTGTGTGGAATCCAGGGCCACACATATGCTAGGCAAGCACTAACCACTAAGCTACATTCCCATCCTCCAGATAGCTGTCACCACTCATACCACCACTCTTCTGCCAGCAGGTTTGTACTGCAAATTACAGTGGCTATTGGTTCCCTCCCTGTAATTCTGAGGATGATCATGCAGGGTTCTCATCAGCATAAATTGCAATCACGATGGAGGCTTAGATGTATGTACTATGCCTCCCCTATCTCTGGGGAATCTATAGGCATTTCTTTGTTTCTGGGAAAGGGAGATACATTTTCTTCAGTGATACAGCCACTAGTAAGTTGCCCATGCTAATGTAAGTAACTCCCAATTTACATTATGGCCAACCCTTGTTAAACTCACTGAGACAACACACACATGCACATACACATAAACACACATACAAACTTATACACACACATACACACACCACATAAAAACGGAAGGTCTGGTTGAGAAGAAAGGGATCAGAGGGAGGGTGACAAAATACATTATATATATGCATGGGAATTTCACAATGACTCCATTATAATGCATAATTAATACATACTAGCAAAACATTAAAATTAGAAGATAAATTAAAAGTACTGATGCCTGACTGCAATAATACTGATGAAAGCCAAGATTTGGAATCAGCTAGGCATGGTATCATCCCGATCCTTGTGAGGCTGAAGCAGGAGATATTGAGTTCAAGCCTTATGTAGACATCTATTGAAATGTTCTGTCTTACACTTTAAGTATATTTTTGTTTTATTGTTGAGACAGAGTCTTGCTATGTAGCCAGGTCTGGCAGTGAGCCATTAGTCCTCTTGCCTAACCTGCCTGAGTGATGGAATTTTAGTCATTCGCCACCACTCTGTGTCTTGTCTGTTAAAAAAAAATACTGGTGCCTAGACTGCACTCCAAAATTTTTTTGATTCTTCTGTGTTATTGCCTGGGTACTGGGATTTCAAATGCCAAAAGCATATTACAAAGTAGAAATTGAACATGGCACATACACTATATTAATTTGTGTTGCAGACACCAGATAACAGATTTTCTTTTAAAATAACTAACTGACAAGCTAGGCATGGTGCACACCTGTAAACCTAACTCTTGGAAAACTGGGACTAGAAAATTGCAAGTTTGAGGGCAGCCTGGACTATATAGTAAAACCTGTTTCAAACTATTTGATGAATTTTATATGCAAGGTATACAACATGATGATTTGATGTCTCTTGTGAAACAAGGACACTGAAGAAATAATTTGGTTACCACAACACTATTTTAGAGCCATAAGAAGGCAGCAGATTCCCTGGAGCTGGAGTTAAAGATGGTTTGGAGCCATCAGATGTGGGCTTGGGAACAAAACTTGAGTTCACTGCAAGAACAGCAAGTTATCTTAACTGCTGAGCTATCATTTTTCTACCTCATTGCCAGGTGATTTTAAAAAATACTCATCTGGGGCTGGAGAGATAGATCTGTGAGTAAGGGCACTTCCTGCCAAGCCAGATGTTCTAGTTTCAAACTTCAGATCCCACATGGTGGGAGGAGAGAATCAACCCCTCATGTTGTCTTATTGACCTCTATTCATCAACCATAGATGTCCATACTAAAAAATGTGATGCAATATTCAACTGACTCCACTTAAGCCCTCTGTATTGCTCCTGAAGGCATCTGCTGCACTTGACAACACATTTGAGGTACAGGTTACAGTTCAACAAGGCATTAACTCACCACAGACTTTTCAAGTTACTCTGTGGTTCCTTCAGAGCCTCACACAGAAACCTCGCACCCACACTTCTGATGTAATTCAGCCCCAGATCCAAGTGCTCCAGACTCGATGCTTGTCTCAGCATCTTTGAGAGATGGCAGCAGCCATCACTGGTGATGTCACAGGACCACAGTCTGGAAAAGCACATGCACAGGGACAAAAATCAGGAACAAGTGAACCCATTAGTCCATGCTTGGATGATGCACTCAAACCACAGTCTTCTTGCTCAAGCCATGGGTTTTAGTCATGCTTAGAGATGTTGGAATAAAGTAGGACATTAGCATAAAATCATAGAGTGGGTTTTCATTAAAATAATCCTAAGTGTCATTTACTGTCTTGACCATCTTTTCTGTCCCACTTTCCTATCTCCCCCCACCCCTGCTATAGAGAAGTTGGTGGAGAGTGAATATGATTAAAATACATCATATACATATATGAAATTCTAAAAAATAATAAAATAAAGTTAATTGGTATGAGAGGGAAGTTCATGTCTGCTACTGTCAAACAAGGCAACTATCTGTGGCAAAGTCTTTTTTTTGAGACAGGGTTTCTCTGTGGCTTTGGAGGCTGTTCTCGAACTAGCTCTTGTAGACCAGACTAGTCTCCAACTCAACATAGATCCGCTTGCCTCTGCCTCCCAAGTATTGGGATTAAAGCTGTGTGCCACCACCACCCAGTTCAAAGTCTTCAGAAGAGAATCTATAACACCTCTTCATTTAATGGATTCATATTTTCCAGCTACCTTTTGAATATTTATGGTCATAGGTAAAAGCAGCTCTCACCCCTCAACAAAGAAACCATGAAATTTGTAGTACTTTATGGATGGGCACAGATCAGTGTAAGTTCCTAGCAGCGTGCCTCTACTCAGCAGGTGCTTAATCAATGCTGATAATTCAAGTTATTTCATGGCTGTGTTTGTTTATCTTGGGGGTGGTGACCTTTCTGTAATGGTTATTTTTTTCAGACAGGGTCTCACTCTTTAGCCTAGGCTGTGATCCTCCTCTGTCATGTGTCGTCATGCCTTATAACATAATTAGATTGTAAATTTAAGATAGGGTTAGTTAGTGGGTAGGTTCTTCAAGACTTTGGATCATAGTGTATTGCTGGTGAGTTCTTTCCTTCCATCTGTCTCTAACCGTGAACTCAATATTTTATCATATGTAAACCACCAAGTGATTATATCAGGCCCTATCTGCTTTAAAGGTATAACAATGTTTAAAACTATAACAAAGTTTGCTGACAGCTTCCCTTCCTTCTTCACTCCTTCCTTCCTTCCTTTTTTAATGTTGAGGATGGAACCCAGGACCTTGTACATAAACTGCATTATTTATTTTATTCTTTGGTCAACTTGATGGAAACTAGAGTCATCTGGGAAGAAGAAAGGGCCTTCCTAAGATTGGCCTGTAGGCAAGTCTGTAGGACATTTTCTTGATTAATGTTTCATGTGGAAGGGCCTGACGCACTTTCTAAGTCATGCCACTCTTGGGCATGTAGTCCTGGGTTGTGTAAGAAAGCAAAGTGAGCAAGCCAATAAGCAGCACTCTTCCATGGCCTCTGCATCAGCTCCAGCATCCTGGTTCTGCCTTGACTTCCCTTCATGATGCACTACAAGGTGTAACATGAAATAAACCCTTTCCTCCGCAAGTTGCTTTCTAACATGGTATTTATCACAGTCATAGGAAGCAAATGAGAGCAAACTGTACTGGCCACTTCCAACAGAGCCAGTGTTTTAATGTTGCCAGTTATCTGTAGTGAGATATTCACCCCACCCACACCTATAGCACTGACCACGCCCACTTGGGCACGGTCACAGGTGAGGACTTGATGGAGGGAGGACTAGATCTGGGGTCCCCAGAGCATTCTCTTGCTTCCAGTCGGGTCACAGGGAACAGCCTGGGAGGATTCCTGGATCTGGAACCTGTGGCGGTGACCTGCCTCTTGTATAAGTGCATTCTTCCTGAATAAACTCACTTAACCTGTACTGAGTACAGTGAATCTTGATTCCCGTACAATAGTGATCTCTCTGTTACACAGAATAGTAGTGTCATCAATGGCAATACAATCTCTGAAGAGTGGCCAGTACATTCCCACTAGACTTTGGAAATTAATTCTATGACTCTTCTAATTGGAACAGTCAGAGATCACTGAAGAACACAACCAATCAAAACAAAGAGTTCTGGAGCACATTAGAAATGGTTGTCCATGCCTCACATGGATAATCCCACACTCAAATGCATGTCAGCAGTACTAATTGGGCTTAGTGGGTCATAGTTTACAGAAAACAAAAGAATAAAGAAAAATCCAGGCATGGTGGCACATCCTTTCAATCGAGGTACTTGGTAGGTGGAGGATCAAAAGTCCAAAGTTATCATCTGATATAAATTCAAGGCCAGCCTGAGATAAATAAGACACTGTCTCAAACAAAGACAGAATGGAAGTCAGTTCTGGAAACCAGAGTGCCATCTCAATTCACTATAGAATATTAACATCACATATTCATATTCTATAATGGTGGGAATACTGAAGTCAGTGCTTTCTCTCTCTCTCTCTCTCTCTCTATA